GGTTTATGTAGAACCTAATATCTTGAAAATGATAATAACCCAATACCCAGTGTGTGTGTGTGTGGCAAAATGACTAAGCTTGTCAGTAGAAATATGTAACAGTTACATACCGATTTTGGGATGGCAATTGCTAATTCTTTATTTTCGTCAATTAAAGGGTTTTGTATATTATGGCCATTGTCCAGCTCATCATGGTCATCAGCCTTCAGTTTCCTTGGACCTAATATCTTTCCTTAAAATACAAAAAAAAAAAAAAATAAGACATAAAATTGGAATAGGTTTATAAAAGGTTTATAAATAATAACAGATCTTTCCAGAGTGTCAATCAAACTTCACAACTAACCAATCACAACAGGACCAGAACAACAGGACCTTACCAACAATATCCAAGGGGCGGAGCTTAGCAGAAAGTACCATAGTTCTGTCTTAAATTAATAAATTTGAAAAAATGTTTTGTTTATTTTGCATATTGAAGTCAATAGTTGTCAATTGAATAATAGAATGTAAAAATGGTTTAATTGCAGAATAATTAATGAATAATTAATAACACTCATATGGAAGCTAGAAATTACGTTTTTTTTTTTTACATATTTTGAGTTCCTGACATTGTTTTCACAAATTTCCATTTTTTCATTCATCTTATGGCCAATAGCAATGCCGTACGGGCGCATCAAACATAGGGATCTTTGAGCGTGTTTGTGCCGATATACTGTAAAAATATGCTAAAATCAGACCTATTATTAATCTATTATAGCTCCTAAGGATAAAAGGTGACCCCCAATTTTTATTAGATATTCTGAAAGCACATGAGTTGTAGATACAGTTTTATAGATCATTATGGCTGATCGGTCATTGTGACGTCATCATATTGCCATTTGAATTTTTAAAAACTGAATTTTCATTTATGACGTCATTATTTTTTATACTTATTTGAACGTATCTCGCTTTTTCTTGATCGATCGTCTCCCACCTTCGAGCATGTTATAGCTGAGACAATTTCCTTACAAATTGTTTCAATCATTTTTCACTTTCATGACATCATCATCGTCAAAATGAATGTTTTTCTAACCTCTCCCCACCTCTTTTTTCAAATCTTTGACGAGAGATGGCAGCAGACTTGATATTTCCCTGCAGAGTTTGAAAATCCTGGCTACAGTATTATTCCATATTTCACTTTTAAATGCTGCAAGATTTCTTTTGCCTGACAAGCAGATCACCTAACTGGCATCCGAAGTGATGAGTTCAAATCTAGTTTATTTAATTTTTAAAAATTTGATATTGTTTGTATTTATGTATTTTTGGAGTTAACATCATGTATTATGATCCATATTTATGCCACATTTAATCAAAAACTGATATTAAAAGCTTTTCAAATCTATTGAACGAACCTGGTAGAAACAGACCATTCTCAATTACTCCTAAAACAGGAAAGAGTTGGAGCGGATAGGTGAGCGCAACACTTAGGCAGATGAATGAATAGATGATGGTGAGTAAGGTTGACTCTTCAGTTTCTATCAAGTTTTCAATGATGATCTGTTGAGTATTACTTCCAAATCTGAGGTAGCCAGAGGCGCCAAGAGTTGATGAGATCAACGCTAGCAGGGCAATTGTCAGGTGAAGGAAACATGGGTACATGTGTCGATTGCCTACCATGCTGGACTCGACTGGAATTACCTACACAGTGTGTGGAAGAAATATGTCATTTAGAATTTTATAATAACTTAATAGGACTTGGTATTACAGCACATGTATCTGTCTAGCTGACAGACAATATATAAAACTAAATGAATACCCAAAAAATAAAAATAATTAAATACAATTAAATATAGAGGTATTATGTTAATAAAATATAAATATTATACAAGCAAAATATACAACTAAATCAAATCAAAGTACTATATATATATGTATATATATATATATATATTACAATTATACAATTACAATAAATCAATATAATGCATAAATGAATATACTTTATATATTTATATACAAATAAATACATAAATACATATACATATACATATATATATACTGTAT